CAGTGCTGGATCCTTCCTTTAAGAGGTCTTGGTAAGTCAGTTACGAGAGATCATAGGGCTGGTGGTTCTCTCCCTTCAGCCCTTATCACGCACCAGGGGCTCCTGAACTGGTGTGTGCGCGGCCCTTCTCAGCGCCCACTTCTCTCACCTGGGCCCGCGCTGACTTCCAGGGAGTGGCTGCTGGGGTCCAGCAGATGCTCCGTGCTTCCTTCTTCCTCCTGATGCCACCCGGCCTCGTAGCTGTTGGAGGCTTGCCCCACCCATTTGTATTCTGGGGTTTGCATGCACCTTGCGGATATAGTTTTTTGTAGATGATGTCTACAGTTTTGCTTTCTTCTCTCCTAGTTTGCTTGGCTTCAAGTTCCAACCCTGTGCCCATCAAGCCCCCTTTCCCCACACCTCCGCCTCTGCCCAGCCCCCACCAAATCACCAACGTCCCGTCTGTCTAGTACTTAATGTTTTTAAGTTAAATAAAATTAAACTTTATTTTCATATGAGTAGCTCTTAATGGTCTATAAGAAGTCTGAAAGAATTAGGACATGTGTGTAAAAATACCTGCTGTCGTAAGTGTTGTCATGGGGTGGGGGTGGGGTGGGCAGTAGTTGGGGGCTCTACGTTCAGCAAAAGCAGCTTGTGTTCATGGGGGATATTTCCCAGACTTAAAGCCTACTCACCTCTTTCTCTGTGAGTATGTATTTCAGTGTATACAGATGGCTTGCTTCTCTTAAGTTGTAAAATTTCTCTTAAGACAACAATACTCTATGATACTTGGGGTACTTTAACCATGCTCAATCAGAACAATAGTTTTTAAACTGTTGCAAGTCTATTAGTGGACAATTGTTTTCACCCTAAAATCTGTTCGTTAAAAAAGTATACAGAGATGCCCTACTTCAAAATCTGTTGGATTTTTTTTTATCATGGTAAAATAGATAGAACATGAAGTTTGTCATTTTAAAGTGTGTAATTCAATGGCATTAATTACATTTACAATGTTTTCCCACCATCACCACCATCTGTTTCCAAATTTTTATCTTTCCAAATTAGACTCTGCACCCATTAAGCAATAACTCCCCTTCCCCCCCACACACATACCCATGAAGTCACAAAATATTTTAAATTATAAAATATATGCATTAGTATTTGATTGAGATAAAATACTATGGCATAATAATATGCAAAATGGATAATAAAATGCAAAAACCATAGTGATTATGGGTTTGAAATAACCATAATATAAGGTGATGTTAAATAGAAGGGATGGTTTTATCTGTGTTAAACCATAGAAAGCATTTTGCCTGTAGATGGCAGCACTCAGGCTTCCTTTTTCCTTGTTCATTTCATTTGGGAAAAGTTTTAGTGAGAGAGAAAGCAATAGATACATTGCAGCTAGAAGAAGAGGAAACAACTGGGTGCAGAGATATCTCTTTAAAGACTTAAAAACTGTGGGAAGAAATGCTGTCTTTCACATAATCACTGGACAAGCTTGAGTTTAAGTCCGGGCCTCACCACCTAAGGGCCACATGACTACGTACTGGTCACTTCCTTAGGCTTGGTTTCTCCATCTGTGAAACAAGGGCAGCAGTGAGACAGTGAATGTCATAGAGGAATAGAAATGTAAATGTATCATAAATGTAATAGAGAAACAGAGGCATAAATGGAAAGTGTTTAGCACAGGCCTGTCTGGAGAGATTCAGAGGTTGGTGAATGTGAGCTACTGTTTCCACACCTTGCTTAGTTTCCCTTTGTGAAATAGCCTTGTGGCACTTAGTCTGAAACCCTCTGCGCTTCCTGCACCAGCCCTGCATGTGGGGTATCTGCTTGTCTGGGCTGGTACTCTGGGGACTTTTCCACTCACCCTGCAGCCAGCCCCTAGGCCTTGGCCTGAACAAGTAGTCATATTATTTTTTATGTGGTATAATATTTTTTTAATGAGGTATAACCACCATATAGTATTATATTAGTTTCGGTGTACAACGTCATGATTCAACATTTGTATATATTGCAAAATGATCACCACAGTAAGTCCGGATAACATCCAAGTAGCCACGTCTTATGAACCTGATTAAAAGTAGTACTTATTTCCCCAATGAAATTGTGTGGCTTTCTAGTTCCTGAAGGAAATTCAGTGTCTCCCAGTGTGACTGAGATCCTAGAACCAGGAAATGCTCTGAATGTAGGGATATTATTCTCTTGATCTTAGCTCTCTGAGAAAAATCACTCTTAAAGCATATACCATGGAGTAAGAGATTCCTGTTAGGGTCTAGAAAATAGTACAGGATCTTATCTTAGTGCAGAGGGGATGATGGTACTACTGATAGAGCTTTTGTGGGGGGCAGTTTGAAAAAAAAATTTTTAAATCTAAAATATGCATACTCTTTGATTCAGAAATCCCACTTTTTGCGGCAGGGGGAGCATGAGCGGGAAAGTGGGGCAGAGAGAGAGAGAGAATATGAATGAATGAATGAATGAATGAACGAACGAACGAACGAACATCTTAAGCAGGCTCCACACTCTGCACGAGCCTGATGCAGGGCTCGATCCCATGACCCCAGGATCATGACCTGAGCCAAAATCAAGAGGTAGACACTCAACCAACTAAGCCACCCAGGTGCCCCCAAAAATCCCACTTCTGTCTTTCTATCCTGAAAACACTGTCAACATTGGTGCACAAACCTATAGACAAAAAGAGGTAGCATTGTTTATAATAACAGGAATTGAGAATGTTTATCTGTAGGGGATGGTTGAGCCAATAGCAGTTCGTCTATGGGAGTAACATGTAGTCCTTACAATTACAGAATGATGGAGAAAGATGTACGTGATATATTGTTTTATGAAAAGAGCAAGGAACAGAATGAACTATGTTTAAAAATACAGTATGTGGAGTTCCTGGGTGGCTCAGTCAGTTGAGCATCTGACTCTTGATTTTGGCTCAGGTCATGATCTCAGGGTCATGGGATCCAGCCCCATGTTGGGCTCCGTGGGGTGTGGAGCCTGCTTAAGATTCTCTCTCTCGCTCTGCCGCTGGTACTCTTTCCCCACCCTGCCTCTCTCTCTTTCTCTCAAAAACTAAAAATAAAAAATAAGAATACTTGGGGCGCCTGGGTGGCGCAGTCGGTTAAGCGTCCGACTTCAGCCAGGTCACGATCTCGCGGTCCGTGAGTTCGAGCCCCGCGTCGGGCTCTGGGCTGATGGCTCAGAGCCTGGAGCCTGTTTCCGATTCTGTGTCTCCCTCTCTCTCTGCCCCTCCCCCATTCATGCTCTGTCTCTCTCTGTCCCAAAAATAAATAAATGTTGAAAAAAAATATTTAAAAAAAAGAATACAGTGTCTGTGTGTGGGTGTGTAAGATTTGAAGTTAGATAAGGAAATTAGGGCAAGATCGGGCCACATACCCTGCTCCTTCGCTTCCGTTTTCCCCCGAGGCCTCGTCTAGGACGGCTCATCCAAATTGCAATGTTATCTTTCAAGAGTGTTTTTAACAGAAATATTTATCATTCAAGAATTCATCCCCCCCCCAAAATAGTGCCATTATACATAGTTATTAGATTCTTACACTAGCCAACCAAATTCTACCTAACTCAAGTATTCCTGCCTTAAATTAAAAAATGCTACTGATTTAACAAATCGGCTCAAACAAGAAGACTCTTACCAAGGTTGCCCTAATGCTGGTGTTCGAGGAAAAGTGCTCATTGCTTCCGTGACTATTGAGCGCCTGCTGTGTGCCTGGTTCTGTTGATATTGTTTTCTCCAAAAGAGGTCTTCTTTCCTGCCCCTGAGAAAACGCCATCTCAGTTAGGAGCCCAGGGAGGGAATTAGGACCTGTCCACGGGGATCCTGGAGCTGCCCGGCCCCATGGCCCCTTGTTGTGGGCAGAGCCCCTTGTGCACACTGGGCATGGGGGAGGCACGTCATTGGCTCAGCCTTGGTGCTGGGTGTGCCTGGCAGGGAGTGATTAAGACCTCTCCAAGGCAGCTAGCTTTGGTGTGGAGCCAAGCGATTTTCAGAAAGTGTTTAAAGTAGAAAATGAGAGCCTCCGATTTAAGAAAAGGGGAAATGGGCATAGAGTCTGTCTGAGAGGAGATGGCCTTCTCGCCATCATCTGGTCCCTCAGTGAGAGACTCTGTAGGTGTTGACATAGGATTGGGCCCATTGAGTGACATAACTTGTGGAGAGTGTTTTTCCTCCAGTTCATGGAGGGACTTTGTTCTGTTATCTGAACGAATACACCTGTTATGGCTGATTGTGCTCAGCCCGAAGCCTGACCAGGCGTGAGACTGAATTTGGTTGTATTTGGGCGTATAGCAAAGCAGAGACAAACCGCTTGTGATAACCTACCCGTGAGTCAGGCATAGGAAGGGAGCCCAGGCACGTCCTTTGGCACCCACAGGCCAGCTTCCTACCCCTGTCACAGGAGCCGTGTGGTTGGCCTGAGCTCCTCACCACTCCACACTGGGGTGACCATACAGCCCCTGCGTCAGCCTTCCTTACGCCCAGTGGGGTTACTCCTGAGAATTCCCTTTCCAAAGACATCCTGCTTTCTCTACAGGGATGCTATTTCCATCTCCGTGATCATAGCAGTTAGAGAAAGGTTTTTAAAGACAGATTTATTTGATGAAGCTTTTTTTGTCATCATTTTGTTTTTATTTATGGCTGAATGGTGGTGATTTTCATGAGCCACCTGACTCTTGCAGGTTTTTCATGCTAACTGTCCCTGAAAAGAGAGATCTGAAAGTCTGTTCCCTCTGAAATCTGAAACAGGAAGCAGCCTTAAAGGAGTGATGAGGAAATAGCCAAGTGTGGGATTTGTTGACCTCCCTTCGCTGTCTTTACAATGCTGCACAGCTATCAGAAAAACTTCATGGCGTAAACCACTCAACAGATGGTACTTGTTCTGAAAGGGAAGGAGAGGCTGATGTTTGAGGTTTGCTTCAGAGGGAACGCTGAGTATTCAGTTAGAACCAAGACTTGATTTTTCTGATCATGGGGATTCTTTCTACTGCAGATATCTCCAAGGCCTTGGTTCTAACGGAAATTGGCCCCAAACGTGACCCTGCCACTCTGAAATTGTTCCTGAGCAACATGGAGAGGTTACTCCACGCCAAAGCTCATGGGTATGACTTTTCAGTTCCCAGAACATCCTGGAGCCAAAGGGGAAAGTGCCAAACACACAGTCTTGCTCACAGCTCCCCAGGGAGAGAGGAAAAGATCCCGAGTGATGGGAGGTGGCCCACATGCGCCCCATGCAGAGGCCGGGAGAGCCACATGATGCTTCCTCTGCTGGTGTGCTCCCTCGTGCCTGTTAGAAAACCAACAGGGGACCTGTGTTCCTTTTGGAGCAGTGCTTCCAGAAGCCAAGTGACTGATCTCAAGCCACCCAACCAGTGAATCCTGTGTGGGCTTAGAGCCCTTCATAAATGATATCACTCCGGCAAATGTTTAGGAAAAATGAATCCTAACAAGTCCAAATGAATCTTCTCCCGTCTCCCACCCTCCCTAGGTCTGTGCTGTACCTGTCACAGGTGTGCTGTACCTGTCACGAGGTGATTTACATTTAAGTTAAAATTCAGTAGAGTTAAGATGAGTTCTTCAGTTGCACTAGCCACATTTCAAGTGTTCAGCAGCCACAGGTGGCTAGTAGCTTCCACATTTGCAGAACTTTTCCATCCTCACAGAAAGTTCTCTCGAATGGCATTGCTCTGCACCACAGATCTTGAATCTAGAGAGTGTATTAGAAAAGCCCTGTGGCTCATTTTTGATGACTGGGAATGCCCAGCAAAGGGTTGACTTTGGATGATGTCAGCTATTTAAGAGAAATCTGACTTGTGCACAGCACCACTCACAGGAATCTTTGCCCTCTTCCCTCTCCTCTAGGGTCCGAGTTATCGGGAGCTCCACCTTGGCACTCTGCCACCTGGCCTCGGGGGCTGCGGATGCTTATTACCAGTTTGGCCTGCACTGCTGGGACCTGGCTGCCGCCACCGTCATCATCAGAGAAGCAGGTGGCATCGTGATGGACACTTCAGGTAAGCCCCTCTGACCCTCAGCCTGCTGTCCATCCCCAGGGGAATGACAGCAGACTAGACCCAGTAATGCCACCAGACTCAATGTCTCCCAGTCTAGACCTGGTAATGTAACCAGACCCAACATCCCCAGACTGGACCAAGTGCCATCAGACCCAACATCTCCCAGACTGGGCCAAGTGCCACCAGACCCAGCATCCCCCAGACTGGACCAAGTGCCACCAGACCCAGCATCTGCCAGACTGGACCAAGTGCCATCAGACCCAACATCCCCCAGACTGGACCAGGTGCCGCCAGACCCAACATCTCCCAGACTGGACCGGGTGCCGCCAGACCCAACGTCCCCCAGACTGGACCGGGTGCCGCCAGACCCAACGTCCCCCAGACTGGACCAAGTACCACCACCAGACCAAATGTCCCCTCTACTTCTTCAGAGTCTACTGATGAGACACCATGTGAAGATGTTGGAAGAACAGTGGGCTAGGGCCTTCTCAGCTTTCCTGCCTTCCTACTCTCTGCCTCTAGGCATGAAAAGAGACCCCAGGATCAGGATACGGCCAGATAGGAACACGCGACCACTATACACATACATAACATTTGACGGTTTTCTAGCACACGTTCTGACCCCACCAAATCCGACGAGATAGGCAGAATAAGCATCGTACTCCCCATTCTATGAAAAGGAGGCTAGCACCCCACCCCGCACACACACCGTGTAGCTCCGCATGGGGTCAGCATGGTATAGAGCATGAGCACACTGTGAGCTTTTTAGGAGAACAGACTCAAAAAGGTGACTTGTTCCTTCTACTTCAAGGTCATCGTGTCCCAGTGACTGACCCCCTGGGGGTGAGTCCCCTAATATGTCTGCCCCCATAACTCCTCTTAGCTTCAGGCAGACCCTTCATCTAGTATTTAGGAGTAAGCAGTTTGAGACCGGGTGAATCCTTTTAGATCCCTTTCTCTAGCTTTTTAGTCACGACTTGTTAGCCAGCCTGCATCAGGTCACTGCCTAGACAGGCCCCACCCAGACCCGTTGAGTTAGGACTTCCATCCATCACATGGGGTCCCCGGTGCCACCCGTACAGCAGACATTTGAGAATTGCTCTCCGCTGTGGTGGTCGAACCGATCATGTGAACCTCAGTCCTGATGGCTGAACCTTAACCTCCATTCCCCCAGCACAGCCTCCAGTGCTCCCTTCCTGGGGCAGCAGAGTGGATGCTGAGAGGCTGCACCCTTGCTTTGGCCAGGCTCACGTCTAGACGTCCCTGTATGGTCCTGCCTCCAGCCCAGCCTGGACCTTGGTTTTCCTTGGAATGTGCGTGTGCTCAGTTGCTATTCGGGACTGTTCTGCCCTTTCCAGTAACTTAGGCACCCTGTCTCCTCTCTCTGTCCTCAGGTGGACCTCTCGACCTCATGTCTTGCAGAGTGGTGGCTGCGGGCACCCGAGAAATGGCGACGCTCATAGCTCAGGCCTTACAAACGATTAACTATGGGCGGGATGATGAGAAGTGAAAGGGAGCAGAGGGGCAGAGAAATGTGACCCAAGGACTGGGCCCTCCTGGGAATGCTGAGGCTGGCGGCGAGCCCTGGGACAAAGCTGCCTCCAGCAGCCTGCACACATCAAGTGTCTCTGACCACCCCCAAGAGGTGTTTTGCTAAAGTATGTGGCTTTCTGGTTAAATCCACGTCTTTCACCGGGATTCGGTGTTTAGCTGGTGTCTCTCTTTAATCTCACATAGCCTTTATCAGGTTAGTACACATTCTTCTATCAGGGCCAAAATCCAAATCTCGTGTGACATACGTATTGAAAATTGAGTCTTGATTTTTTTTCCTCCAGAATGCAAATCTCAGGTAATAAGGCTTTAGAACTGCTGATGAAGCGGACTTGTTCTCAGGCCCTCCCCCATGGTACTTCAGAATGCAATAAATCAAAATAATGGCGCTCTGCTTGTCTGTTTCCCTCCATAAGTGTGTCGCCTGCTTCCTCAAACCCACAACGCCCACAGCTGTAGATCCAGGCTCTTCAGGAAAGTTTGCATATTAAAGCCCGAAGTTGGCAGTGTTTGCTGTCTGTCTGCTGCTTTTGATAAGCACTGTGAAAACTACCTTAGTAATTATCATGTGTTAATGGATAAAGTGAGCCATACAAAAATTTTAGGAATTTATTTGAGCAAAAAACAAATCAGGCAGCGTCAAAGCAGAAGTGGTTAGAAGCACTGTCTACGGGAGCTGGGGAAAAACTGTTCTAGAGAAAAGGCCAAAGGAAATTCTCGATTGGCTGTAGCTTAAAACCTCTTTCTTTGGCTGTTTGTGATTGGTTGTCCTTAAGTTCACTCTTGTAACCTTAAGGTATTTACAGGCTTACATTGGTTTGCTTATGCAGGTGCTATGGCATTAGAGCCACCTCAGTCTGATGGCCTCCTTTTTAATTAATTTAACAATCCCCCCTTTTGGTTATCCTGTCCTATGTGAGAAGATTGCCCCAAAATTTGGTATTAGCGCCACCCTCTTTCACCATCAGAGTTAAATTGCTCTTGCCTCACTGTGAAACTCCCAGGTTATGTTGTCAGATCCATGGAAGAATTGCTTTTGCTTTTTTCCCCATTGTTCAGCTTGTTTCTTTTTCTCCAAGCACACTGAGACCATCTGCTGTGCTGATGGCTGCAAGCACGCCTGTAAGACCTTTGAGAGAACACAGCACACCAGACTGACCGTGATACTATTAGGAGGATAATACCAAGCGACTGAAGTATACTCCTAGCCATGGCCCCCATGAACCAAACCGGTTGCTATCAAATAAATCAAAGAATGTACCAGAATCAACCTGTATAAGCCAAGGAGCATGTTTGTTAATGTCTTGTACTGGAGTTTCTACAAAACCAGAGGTGTTGATCTAGGTACAGCAGGAACTATTTGCCGTGGCACAGACTCCCCCAACAAGTAATCTAAAGCAATTCTATTATCTAAAACCATCTCAGCAAGAGAGCCCCTGGGGACTTTTGTGGTGCAGCCATGGCGTTAGCGGTAGACTCAGCAGTGGTTGCCGGAGTTGAGGGTAAGTTTCTAATTGTACGTTTGTTTGTAATAACTCCAAGCCAAGGAAGAGGGGACCTTCCAAATGATGCGCATCCAGAGGGGTTAACAGCTGCTAGTAAAACTTCTCTTTCAAGGGAGTGGGACAATGTGGAGTTTCTGAGGTAGTATCATGAAGGGACAGTGGGACAGTACTTAGAACAAGGGTGCATTGTCCTTACACCCTCCAGACAGCAAGCTGCCCAAGCATGGAGGCCACTGCCCAAAGCTCCACGTGTAAAGGTGTAGCTAGGAGGTCCACGTAGGGCTCCCTCAAGTATTAGCATTCATGGACCCATTGCTCCATATAGAGGTGCATCATTCATCCAAGACTCCAATACTGTATTACCACACATTGAAAGACCAGCCAAATGTATGGGCCCAATAGCAAGCCTACAAATGGTCTGATTGACACTGGCTGCTCTGCAGCGTCTTTCAGATGTGCATTCGGTGGATTTTGCTTTTCCCATTCCAGGATTGGATTAAATTGAGACAAGAAACAAGGATACGTAGATCTGGTGTTTGAACTTTGTTAAAGGGACCTGCAGGACAGTGGCAGCATACAGTGGCCTTCAGGATTCCCTTCACATCTTGAGTTTGGTTCAGCATGACAAATCCGGCTGTTGGTTTAGTGGTTTAGTTTCCTGCGGTAGCTGTTGTTTGTGAAATCCTGTCTTCCCCTGCATTAAGGGACAGAAAAGGCAGATCACAAATAGGCAAAGGAATAAAGGTTTCTTACAGGAGATGAAGATCCAGATCGGTGATTTTGGGAGAGCTGCTCACCCCAAGCTGTTGAATGCTTCTGAGGAGGAACGTCTGTGGCCAGTTTTAACTTCACATCTCCGGCTGGTATACGGTGCCGGAGCCTGGAGGAGCCCTTTCAACTGGGTGCTGTGGCCCCGGGGTTCAAATCCCTGAAGTTGGGCTGCCATCTGGGTGGTGAGGAGAACCTGGTGTGGTCCCTTCCAGTGAGGTTCCTGGGCAGTCTTTCTTAGGTGTCATTTCCAGAAGACCTGCTCTCCATGTCCTAAGTTGTGGAAGGTTAAGCCAGCTATAGGAGCATCATGGAAAGCTTCCTTTTCCTGGTGGCAGTACGCTTCGGCATAATGCATTAAAGCCTGACAATACTGAGTCACATCAGAATTTATGAGTACAGTAGACACATGGTTCTATCATCAAAAGCCTAGGTCTTCCTGTTACTGCTGCATGAGATGTTAATTTGTGCTTTCCCGTGAGTGCCAATCTAACTGCCATCAAAACCAATGGTAGACCTTTTGGCCAGGGCAGTCCAGTTGATTCTGTTAATTTAGCTAGCTTCAGGTTTAAGATACCATTTGTTCATTCAACTTCAGATGACTGAGGACGGTAAGGATGATACTAATGCCACTGTTTAAAAGCAACGCCTTATTTGTTTAATTATTTCCCCAGAGAAATGAGTTCCCAATCACTGGAGATCTCTCTGGTGGATACCCTCTAAAGAAAATATATTTTCTAAAAGTTTCTTAGCCATGGTTGTGGCATCAGCCTTTCTGCGTGAGAAGGCTTCAGTCCATCCTGAGAAAATACAAATAATTACAAGGACATATCAATAATCCATTGTAGGAGCAATTGAGTGAAATCTATTTGTAAATGTTCAAATGGCCCAGTAGGTGGTGGAAATGCTCCATCAAATGAACCATCTTAATGGTCTTTCCAGGGTTAGGGGTTTGATCAATTAGACATTTGCTCATAAACCACTTTTGCGACTTTGGAGCAGTCATCCACCAATTCTTTTTCATAATTTGGGTCATTTTTTTCTGTGCTATGGTGATTTGCAGAATACAGAGCTTCTAGTAATGGCAATTTTAAGGGCTCAGGAAGAACCAGGAGGCCATCTGGTGGCCCTCAGTGTGTCCTCATCTAACATTAAATTTGTACCCTTGGTCTCAACATTTGTTGTTCTAGTTCAGGTGCCCAATTTTGTCTTTTATATAGATTATCATAAATAATTTGGTTAGAGTTCGTCTTCCAGACTTCTTTCAGGTTGTATATTAGAAGAGTTTTAGTGCTGGCAGATTTAGCATGGAAGTCTGCTAGACCATTTCCCTGATACTCGGGTTCTGTTTTCTAGTGCAAACTTCATTTTTAATAATTCCAGTTCAGTTGGGCACTAGAATGGCAGACAGCAGTTCATTTACTCAGAGTCCAGTTTTGATTAGGATTCTGCTAGAAGTGAGGAACTCTGTCTGTTTCCATAACGTAGCAAGGTCAGAGACCACCCCAAAGATATATGTGCTATGGGTATAAGTGTTTACTGACTTTCCGTTGGGTGGCCAACAAGCCTGAGTAAGGGCATGTAGCTCTGCTGGTTGCACAGACTTAAAATGGGCAAGATACCCTTTGGGGTAGTTCATAGTTATTACAGCATATCCTGCTTGATACCTCCCTTCTGCGTTCTTAGCATAGGACCCATTGACGAAGTATCAAATCTGGGCTTTCTAATGAATTGTCCTATAAGTCACGTGAAGGGTCAGTAACCGTGATACCACATGTACACATTTATGGGGTTCTGTACCATCGTCAGGCCGGGGCAGCAGGGTTGAGTGAGTCAAAGCACATAAGACAGAGGTTAGAAGGTAGAAGGTGAAGCCTCTCACAAGATGCTCATCTTCTTGCTGAAAGTGTTGCGTCTAATCAGGGGGTAACAGATTCTGAGCAGCATGAGGTACTTGTAGCGTTAAGTCCTCTGCAAATACCAGTTCAGCTGAGGCTTAGTCACTGTGGCTCCCACTTTCCAACAGTCTGGACATGCTCCGCCTGCCAGGTCTGACTGTAAGCTGTGCTCAGTAGGTCTGTGTTTTCCTCCATGCTCTTGGGTTAGAACTCCTAAAGCCTGGTTATCACTCCCGTGGACAGATAAGGTGAAAGGCTTAGTATAATTTGGGAGCCCTGGGCTAGAGTTTGTTGGCAGGGTTAATTTTAGTTGGCTGAAGGCCTATTTCATGATTCTCTTCCTAGGAGAAGGGCTTGGGAATCGAGTTTGTTGTAAGCTCATACAGAGGAGATGCAATCAGAAAAATGTGGAACCCAAGATCTACAATATCCTGCAAGTCCAAGAAATTGTCATTAGTTGTGGTTCTGGGGAAGTTTGGCGTGGTCTTTACTCTTTCAGGTGAGAGGGAAATACCTTCTGCATTCAAATCATGTCCTAGATAGTGGACCTTCTTTTTTGTGAATTGGAGTTTTTCCTTAGAAGCCTATGTGCTTTACAAGCTAATTGCTATAATAAAGTGAACCTGTTTCTGAGTCTTCCCTTGTAAGGGAACACAGCAGTAAGGCATCTACATACTGATGAGTGTAGCATTCTTAGGGATGTAAGGTCTTGATGTAAAACCTATGAAAAATAGGATGGGGCTTCAGCGAACCCTATGGCATTATAGTCCAGGTATATTGTTGATTTTTCCAAATGAAGATAAGTAATATTGCTTCTCACTGTCAACTGGGATACTAAAGAAAGCAGAGCAAAGATCTACCACTGTGAACCACTTTGACTCTGTAGTTACATTAGATAACAAGGTGTTGAGGTTTGGAACACAGGGAATGTTAGTATCACAGTTTTATTGATTGCACACAGATCCTGAACACATCTCCAACCTTGTCCATTTGGTCTTTTAATGGGTAAGATCGGAGCATTACAGGGACTACTGCATGGGGTTCTGAGTCTTTGCTTAATTAAGTCTTCTACAGTTAGTGAGAGCCCTTCAGTAGATTCTGGTCTTAGTAGATATTGAGACAATTTAGGCAGGGGTTCAGAATGATCTATTAGGATTTTTATGGGTTCAACACTCTTTTTTTCTTTTTTTTAATTTACATCCAAGTTAGTTAGCATATAGTGCAA